AAAACAAAAGAAAATGATAAATACTTCAAAAAAATAAAATCCTTCGAGATGTAGTTATATTACTACATCTACTAGTTAGGAAAATTGAAAAACTTAAATTTGGACATGTTTTGCAAAAAAGTGTTATGAAGAAGTAAAATGGCTATAATTTTTGCATACGATGTCGGAAAAAACGTATAATACATCAAAATGTTCAGCACGAAAATCCACATCCGATTTTGACAGCCATAGGCTTGTTTGCAAATTTTTAGAATCCTCAAATTCTTAAAGGAAAAAAAAGATATGCTCAAATTTCAGTTTTTTTGAATTTTGGTTAAATCAGGTCAAATTATGGTCAAACTACTTATTCAAGAAATATTAGTGTTACTAAAAATTATTCAAGAATATTAGTGTTACTAAATAATTATTTCATTTTTTGAATTTTGGTCAAATCTGGTCAAACTACTTATTCAAGAAATATTAGTGTTACTAAATAATTATTGTTTTTTAGAATAATAGTTTCAAACTCAAACAGTGAAACGTGTGACTTCATGCTCAAGCTAAACTCCTAGGGTTAATAGGATTGACATCTTACTATTGTCAGGAAAACAACAAGTGTAGACTTGGAAACGAGGGAGAATAGAGCTCGGAAGTTAAGCGTGCTTAGGCTGGAGTAGTGAGAGGATGGGTGACCGGCTAGAAAGTTAGATGATTTGGAATGATGAGGGGTGATTAGAGATTAGAGGTTAAATTAAGCAGTGATGAGGGGCGATTAGAGATTAAATTATAAAATAATTCAAAAATTTGAAAATCGGGAAAAAATAAAAAAAACAATTTTTTCGTAAAATTACTAAAAGCCCTCTAAAACCGGGATTAATGGGCCTTTTTCTACTAGTGAAAGTAACACATATTTTCCAAAAATAAAAGCATCAACGGGTAAGCCATGCACGGTATCTCCTGTGCATGGTAACGAAAACCACTCTCTACATAGGTGTATCATTGCTCGAACCGCGATCATTAGCAAGCAGTGAACTTCACCTTCGATGGCACCATTGTGAACCTAATCTGACGATGAATGCACAGTACTGGCATCATGAAAGTTACCACTAAAGAAAAGCACAATGAAAGTTGACATTGCTATGTGTTACTCCATCCGTCTCTTTTTACTCTACGTATAAAATTTGTTCAAAGTTAAATTAGGTAAAGTTTGACCAAATTTATCTTTAAAATATCAACATTATTATATAGTATGAAAATTAACTTTATGATGCGTCTAATGATATAATTGATATTTTTTTTATATTTTTGGTCAAACTCTGCGAAGTTTGACTTCGGACAGATTTTATATCCAGGTTAAATAGAAACAGAGGAAGTACATCATTTTAGCTGCCCAACATATACTCTCGTTTAATAAAAAGTGCTAGTAATAAAAAAAAGTTTACATCTTTATTGCTTGGGCTATGGATCCCGTTCAACCAATGGTAGGACCGCGCGCCGTCTTGTAAGTCTGGACCTTCTGTTAGTTGATGCCTTGTGTAGTATGATCACGGCCGCTCACGGGGCCGTTTTTTTATCCACCGGCCGATGCGTAGCAGCCTCATCAAAATATTGTTTATTTGTTGTCGTTCAATATAGATACTAGGTGCATTGCAATTTGCGTCTTGAATCTTGACCACCTTCCAATGGAAACCACACCCATCCAGCTCGTGTGCTACATTTTCCTCTGCGTCCTTGTCGTCACCGTACTCCTCACGCTCAGGCCAGCCTCTGGAAGCCGGCCGAACCTGCCTCCGGGCCCATGGGCGCTGCCGGTGATCGGCCACATGCACTTCCTGCTGGGCGCCCTGCCGCACCAGGCCATGCGCAGTCTCTCCCGGCGGCACGGCCCCGTGATGCTCCTCCGCCTCGGCCACGTCCTGACGCTCGTGCTCTCCTCCGCGGAGGCGGCAAGGCAGGTGATGAAGGTCCACGACGCCGCCATCGCGAACCGGCCCGTGTACACCACCGCGGACGTCTTCACCAACGGCGGCCAGAACATTTCATTCGCGCGCCACGACAGCCGGCACTGGAAGGCCGTCCGGAAGCTGTGCACCGTGGAGCTGCTCAGCCCGAGGCGCGTCCGCTCGTTCCGCCCTGTCCGGGAGGAGGCGGAGAGGCTCGTGCGGTCCGTCGCTGATGCCGGCGAGAGAGTGAAGGTCATGATTAACGACGTCATCATGAGGGTCTCCGTCGGCGACCGGTGCCAGCGGAGGGCGCTGTACCTCGAGGAGCTGGACAGGGCGATCGACCGCATGTCCGGGTTCAACTTGACCGATCTGTTCCCGACATCGCGGCTGGCGCGGGTGCTCGGCAGCCGGTCCCTTAGGGCGACGTTGGAGGTGCACGGGAGGATCCAGTCCATCATGCATGGACGCCATGGTCCATGAGCACAAGATGGCGATGGAGAGCGAGGAAGCCAGCGCCGGCCATGAGAGGGAGGATATCCTCAGCACTCTGCTGCAGTTCCAGAGAGACGGCGGGATGGGTGCATCACCCTCACAAACGAAAATGTCAGGGGCGTCTTGTTCGCAAGTCACCACCAGTAAAGACCTCTAGCTACCATGCATCCTCACTTGCACCGCTTCTGCAGAGTATAAACTGTTGCAGTTTTTATCATCTGGATGTTTTTTCCGCGGGGTGGAAACCACAGCGACAACGACGATCTGGGCCATGTCGGAGCTTATCAGAAACCCACGGATAATGGCCCATCGCGCAATCTGAAGTGCGGCGGGTGCTCCAAGGCAAGACCAAGGTGGCGGAGGCAGACATCGACGGCCGGCTCCACTACCTCCAGATGGTCATCAAGGAGACTTTCAGGTTGCACCCTCCGGTGCCATTGCTCATCCGCAGATTGTGCACGGAACAGTGCAAGATCATGGGCTTCGACGTGCCTCCGGGTACCACCGTGTTCGCTAATGTGTGGGCGATCGGTAGGTACGAGAAGAGCTGGACCGATGCCGAAGAGTTCAAGCCTGAGAGGTTCGAGAGCAAAATGGCGGACTATGGTGGGATGGACTTCAGATTCCTCCCTGGTGGTGCGGGCCGGAGGATGTGCCCCGGTATGATGTTTGGCGTGTCAAACATCGAGATTGCTG